AGTGACGCAATTGTCATAAACAGTTTATTCAATCACTCCTACCCAACCGCAGTACATCGCTGTCCCCTCGCGTCCCGCTTGCGCATCGTCTGCTGCCCATCCATCTGATGCACACCACATCAAGTGTGGCGCCAACGATCTCATTGTTTAACCGCTTGGCGGTTCAGGTTTACTCCCCCAGGCCGCCAATAATATCACGTCCCCGGCCAGCCCACCTGCGATTGAGTATTGCCTACGGTACTCCCTATTTGCGCGCCATCCTGCGGTATTTTTGACTTCATTAAAACAAATAATAATTTCTCTGCGATTTCGAACATTTTTCGACATCCAGCTGTCAATCCAGTGCCCCCTTTTGTTTACCACGCCCGTTCTTCCCCTCAAAACCGCCGTCCTGTTGTACCCGACCCACCTAGAGAAGTTTTCTCACTGTGGCCGCCTGTTGGGCCTCTGCCCAAAGTTGCCTACTGGGCGCGTAACCAGATGTGGTGCAAAAGCGCCCGCATAACAGGCATGTCATCACCTACTACGGCAGCCCCAAAAGGAATAGTTAAAAAGCGAGATAAAAACGGCCAGAAAGGAAACCAAAAAAAAACAAGAGAAAAAGAAGTCAAATAGTGAAAGGGCCAAGGAGAAAGGACGGCTACTTCCTGAAGATGCCTCTGAAGAAGCCGAAACAGAGACATCGAAGAACATCCCGTCTATCATGGTAAATGCCATGTGTCCTACAAACTCTGACGGTTCTCAATAAACGTTCGAGCTTAATGGACCCGTTACGAGTGGTGGCATCGATTCATCCATCGGCGCAACAGATTACTATTCCCTGTCTTCTCTGCCAAGTGCTTCTTCCAGGCTTGTCAAAACACGAGCCCAACAGACGAACAGCGAAAAAATCATCTGCTTCACCCTCACCAGCGCATATTGCCACAGCGTTACACCATTTAAGGAATGACATCTCCGTAGAAAATAAAAAAGAAGTCGGCAGAGAAGTCGGCTCCCTGAAACAAAATAAAAAATACTCCCATGCTGTGGGTTTCTGAAGACCTGTCACTCTTCCAAGGTCTCCTCACTAATATTTTGGATTCCACTGAGGCAAATGAAGTGATCAACGCCTTTCGACAGGCAGAAAGGTCATCGGAATCAACACGTCACCGGCCTCTTAAAGTTGTGCTGGTCAGCAGCGACCAAGCAAGTCTCATTCTTTCCAGACGATTTAGGATTAAAGGCTCCAACCCAGGTGCTTTTTCAGCCAGACAACTCGCCAGCGGAACGGCTGAAACGGTGTCAACTAGTTCTGGAACTAAACAAGAGGCTCAGGGAAGGAAAGAACAGTCTAGGTATATACAACAACCAAGTAAGGCGGCGTCCGTCATTCTTCCTATGGACAGGCCCGGTCCGAATGACCGCACAACCGACATAATATATGAATGCGCTGACGAAAACAGAACCACATTTTCCGTCAGCCGAAAATTAAAATTCATGTACACCGACGTCCAGAGTTTGCTATCAAAGTTCGACGAGCTGAAGATCCACCTCTGTGATCTATTTCCTAACGCGATTTCTTTAACGGAAACCTGGCTGACACAACACGTGGACGACCGTAAGTTAAACAGCTGTTTAAAAGTGACAGGGAAGGGCGTCAGGGAGGAGGAGTACTCACGTACTTGAAACATGGAGTAAATATCAGACAAAATGGACAAATTTTCGTGTACTTCCGAGGCAATCTGGCTGTCTGTCAAAGTGCCAGGCTCACCGAAACTCGATGTCCCGACCGCCGAGACGGAACCACATTGCCGATGCTCTCCTGCTGGAGGAGAGTTCGAAATTTTGCTACACGGCCGGATATCCTGATCATGGTCGACTTTAACGCGCCTCACACTGACTGGCCTCACACTCGGCCCACGCAAACACCTCAGAACAGGCCTTTGGTGGGAGTTTTGTAAGCATGACACTGAAGTTATTTCCCACTCAACACGTCACGTTTCCAACTAGAGTACGCGGAAGCCAACTGCCTTGATATTGTCCTTACGAAATCACAGGGCAGCATTGATGGGGTGTCATGCCAACCCCTCTAGTTAAAAGTGACCACCTCGTTCTACTTTGGGATCACGCGCTCTTTTTCATACCCCAGAGACTCATGACAGTGAAAAGAAGCATTTGGATCTGCCAAACCGTGTCGCAGGGATCCCAAATTATTCTACGATTACACAAGACAGAGCACTCGAAACAAGGACCCAATACCACTGCTATGGACTGCCGAAGGCGAAAATATCACTGGAGATTGAGCGAAAGCAAGATTATGGAGAAAATAATTAAGCAACCATTGATACAGTTCCTCGGACAAAATTATCTACTTTCTGATTTCCAGCATGCATTCCACAAAGATAGGTCCTGTGTGACAAACTTGCTCTGCTGTCTGGAACACTGCACTCGGGGTGTCGATAGAGGGGACATGGTGCATGCGGTCTATATCGACTTAAAGAAGGCCTTTGATAGTGTGTCTCACCATCGCCTTTTATACAAACTCAGTCGTATGGGAGTGCGGGGTAAGTTTCTAATGTTGATTCGGAGCTTTCTTCTCGGCCACTATCAAACTGTCCACGTCACTGATTAGCAGTCTGTGGAGGTCGCCGTTAAGAGTGGTGTTCCTCAAGTACATCTTATAAACCAACGACTGTGCAAACGAAATGGACTGCGATGTCGCAATGTCTACTGATGATATAAAGGTCTAGAGTACGATACGAAATGAATTTGACGAAGCGCGATTGCAGACAAACCTAAACCGCCTCGAACAATAGTCGGACGACTGGCTTTTGCCGTTTAACGTAGACAAGCGTAACGTCCTACGAGTTGGCGGAACCAGTTCTCCTAACCGCATGGTCTACCGCCTGACTGGCAGACCATTGCAAGAAGTTGATGCCCAGAAAGACTTGGGTGTGCGGATCAAAACCTCGCTCCAGCCTTCACTGCACTGCGCAAAGTTAGCTAAGTCGGCGATGTCTATCCTATACCTCGTCAAACGGGCGTTCTATTGTTTTAATGAAGACTGCTTCGCCAAGATCTTTCGAATTTTTGTGCGGCCGCATCTGGAGTCTGCTATCCAAGCATGGAGAACTTGGACTGCTAGAGACCTTAGCATACTCGAAAACGTTCAACGGCTGGCAACCAGACTTCTTCGAGTTGGCGACTACGACCAACCTGAGAGGTCATCCACTCAAACTACGTGCGACTGGTGCCTGGCTAGACACAAGGAAGTTCTTCTTCTTCAACAGAGTGGTTGCAGCTTGGAATGCTTTGCCTGAGGACATTGTTATGTTTTCATTCGTAGAAACGTTTTAAAAAAAGCGGCATTAACATTTCGGTGCGCACAACAATGTCACCCGACCGCAAGCGTCTTGATAGCCGACGTTTACAATGTAATGCTATCATGATGCTACTACCAATATTTAAATAACACTTTTTTATGCAATTTATTGTTTTTTGAGCCACGGCGCACAGAACTGCTCGCATTCACCAAGATAGTTGCGGACTGCAAGTCCTACTATATTTCCTGTATCATAGGTGTGCTTCAAATATCTATCGAGTTCATGTGCATACGAATGCTGTTAACTCACGAAATACTGTGTTCGCCTGTACAGTTTTTGATATTCTCCTTTTACATCTTTCGTGTTACTCCCTTTCCTCTTTCTCAAAATACTTCCTCTGTGTGTAACAAATAGGGATTTCAAAGGTACACACCTACTTCCCCTCATGCAAACTGAACTTAACTGAAATAGAAAGCACTTGGAGTAACCGATTTTTAGGTATGTCAATGAGAAGAACACGTAGTGGCGGACGATTAACCCGGTATAGCCACGCGGAAACCGGATTTCTGGTCTCCGTATAACTAAGGAATACGTTTACCAAATGCAGCGACGGTGACGTGAAGTAAGCCGAAGCGATGTATGACATGTGCTAAGAAACCGAATAACTGACCAATCCAATGCAAGAGGAGGAAGTCGGTGGTAGCCTATGTGAAGAATAACTTAACCGAGTAATCGAAAAACGGACCGAAACCAACAAGCTAAGAAGACCCCTGGGAATCTCCGATTATGAAAGATTTCCGTGTGGTGGCGCAATGACTAACGGTTGACTTATTTGGTCAAACGTTGCCGTAAGCTTCAAAATTGAGTAACAAAGTAGTGGAGTGCACGTGAAGTAACTGAAGTAATGAAAAGTACGCCTGATAGCGGGCAGTTAACTGCGAGCAGGCTAGTAGAAACCCCAATGAAAGAATTCCCAAACCGATGAAATGGTGATCACCTGAAGTAAACTGAAGCGACGGAAACCGAATAACTGACTAATGCAGTGCATGCAAACTGTGGTTAGGTATGTGTACAACAATGCAACCGAGTAATCGAAAAGCAGACCGAACCCATCCATATATCGAAGCCGGTGATGGGCATCGGGTACGATCAGGAAGAAACTAATTAAAGAAGTGCAAGTAAGGAAACCTGTGGTTGGTTTATGTCAACGACAGCGTATAGTGGGTAGGATTTGAAGATTAACAAAATTAAACAGTACTTTTGTAAAAAAGAATAGGCGGTAAAATGTAATATGTAAAATTGGGTAGCATATTGCGACCTCACCGCAACAACTGCTTGATGGTTGGCATTCGTGTCGTTAATCGAAGCGATCTCATCATCCGTGTTCGATTTTAGTGGGATAAATACTCGGTCAATCGGCCCACCGAAACTGGCGTAGGAACCGGCGTTCATTTAGGCAATAACTACGTGGCTAACAATTGTCCCCACATTTTATTACAGCACTGATTATGGACGGAGCAGGTCATTGCGCTTGTCATTAGACTGGGGGCCAGTGAAGCATGAGTTAAGCAGCTCGCGACTCACGAGACGGTCACATATCGCTAGAATTTCGATCTCGTCAAACTCGAATACAAGGCCGGGTTCCGTCGAATTAGCTGCGACTTCGGAGCTAATGTGATTTCTCCGCACCGCCGTCGCATGTTTGACCAATGGCGTCCGGAGCATTCTTCCATCTTCCCCGATGATTTCATCTCCCCTAGCAACTGCACCAGATGTGACAAAGAACTCCAGGCGTTTCTTGCCGCGACAGTAGATGTCCTGGTCTCCGGTCACCGGTCTGTGTTGTCGCCGGTCTGTGTTCAACTTAAACTCCATATAATGTACTAAGGGAACTCAAGGTCGGCAGAAAATGCAATTGCTACTTGCTGTCACCTGCCTTGAAGCTCCAAATTTTCGATATACCAACCGAAGTCTAATGCGTTCGTTTTGCAATTTGAAGTCCTCAAAACTTATTTTCACCCGAAAAAGGGAACTTACGCATGTATAATCTGCAACCGTACTCAATGATGATGTGACAATATTGAAAAGATATTCTCACGTACGAAATCAGCAGACGATATTAATTGCCCGGAAAATATCCCCTCTTCTCCTACATGGTAATGTATTCGGAACGTACATCTTTTTGGATACACACACAATAATTTCTTCTCCCAAACTGATAATTTTGGTGATGTCAGTACCTACAAGTTTCATCAGTACAAGCTCCCGGGTTGGAGATTTTACCTCAGACATTCATAGAATGTTTATTCAGTATATTTGGACCCACAAACGGATCACGTGATAGATGCGCTGGACCAAGACGGGGCATATCGAATCGTGGTAGGCGTTGTCGGATTGCCGGCAGACGTCGAGCAGCCTAGAATCCCTGCCCTCCCCCATGGTTGTCGTTGGTTCCAAACCTCGTCATTTGCTGTGTGGACCAGGGGTGTGGAGTGGAGTGCCAAGGTGCAGGCCCAACCGTGCCATCCTCCTGCGTTCCCCCCGCCTCCGGTCTTCTTGACTCGGTCCTGACACCAGGTCCAGGTAGGGGAGGGTAAGAGAGATCAGTAGATGCTGTGCAAATCTACTATCACCATAAAATAATTTACGCACAAGTCACCGTTCCTGCTTAGCCTAGCCGTCAGCAATGACTGTCAAAGTATCAAGTATATGATAAGCATTACTGCGTGTACTCAATCCTCAAACGAAAACATCCGATTTTCTTAACGCAATATCCGACAGATGCGCAACTGACTCTTCATTCGTTCTCGAAGGAAAGGCCACGTTGGCTGAATGAGGTGAATGGGACCGGCAAAATATACCACAAAATGATTATTATCCTCGTTCTTGTCCAGTTGGTAGACATTGACCACAGAAGCAACTCTTTGGATAATTGAGTGCTAGCAGTAGTATGTAACTGGTTCATCAGATGTCTGTACAGCAGTGCATATCAACTACAATGAAGGCGATAATAACCTACCTACGCAACGCGATCCTGTGTGCGCCTAAGTATTTCCTCCAAACGCCCTAATTGATGAAACTCAAAATTTATCTAATGGGGAATGGCAGGCGACCTGTCCCTAGAATTTGGAAACTCGGATTTCTCACACATCCCCTCACCGACTCAGAAACATTTCCAACGGCCTATTGAAGACGAACCGATCGACCCCCTTTTCGATTTCTACTCTGAGTCTAACTTGCTATACACAGGTCTCGTGGTGGTTTGTGTAACCTTGCTATCTGCACCACTAAATTCTGACTTCTGCGCAAATAAATCGGAGGTACTAATTAACTGTCTATTATTTGCCATCTTATAATGATGCATGATGATACGTGGATTGGCAACTGACAAGAGACTGTCTTCTTTTCAAAATTTCCCACGCTGATTGGTTGACACTCCGTGAATTCAAAGGGCGTTTCCTTGAGTGAGTGATGCCTGCGTAAGCTGGGAAACGTGTAAGTCATCAGGAAATTTGACTCGGAAACCAGAAAAACCGTGGTAAATGGTGAGACAGGAAAGGAACTCACATGTGTTTGCGGTCGTGCCAGTACCATGAGCTTTACAACAAATAACAATCCGACGGGACAAGCGTTCAGTTCAGTTCTTGAGGAAAGTAGGCGTGAACCGTTAAGTACCCCCATTTGCAACGTAAAGTGGAGGCAGTCTAAACATAAACTATTATGGGACGAGGGTCTTAGGGGATAGGCTAGCGTCTGTCAGACAAGCGCATAAATGCAGGTCAATGCACAGCCGGTAAGAAGCAGACTTGGACACGAAGGTTTGATGATGTTGCTACTTCTGCTGCTGCTGCTGCTGCTGCTGATGATGATGATGATGATGATGATGAGTCGGCTGACGAAAACCGGCAATTCATAAATGTGTGGTGATTAAGCCATCATTTTGTATGTGGCGATGGCCGTCAACGAATCATAGGGACAGAATGAAAACACAGGTGGTGGTGGTGGTGGTGGTGGTGGTGGTGGTGGTGGTGGTGGTGGTGGTGGTGGTGGCTCTGGTGGTGGTGGTGGTGGTGGCGGCGGCGCTGGTAGTGGTGGCTTTGGTGCTTGTGTTGGTGGTGACAACGACGAAAACGACGATAACGACGCCAATGATGATGATGATGATGATGATGATGACGACGATGATGAATACGTTGATGAAGACCGACAGTTCATGTTAGGGTGGTGATTTAGCCGTCAACGAATCATCGAGGGAGGAAGTCTCAAAAAATGTACATTTTGCAGTGAGAAAAACAATAACTTGACTTGAAGATATTTAAGTACGTTCAACTGGAAATAGTACGTGAGGAGAGTTTTCAACATTAATAAGCATGGAACGACAGGTTCAATAATATAGAAACATTCGATCCTGATTTGTGATAAGGTATCATCCTCCCAAACATTTTGCTAATGAAATGCTAGGACCCTCTCGCTTGCTTTTGAACACTTAATAAAACGGAAAACGTTTCCCCAAACATTCACATTGGTAGACGCTTCGATTTAGATGACTGAGTATGCGATGTCCTAGGGACAGGATGTAAACAAAGGTTTATTTTCAGATAGATGGCTTAACGGCTTGTCAAACCTACTAAAAGCTTTATCGCGTCAGGCGTAGACGGGATTATTTCAGACCATTTTTCCTGGTTCCTGATGTAGGGGAGCCAATGTTTTACATATATTTTCCCGATGTGTGAAGAGCTACCCCCTGAATAATGCCATTTCTTCACACAAATGTCGAGCCTTATTGAAGTAAAATACTCCAATTATATATGTGGTTGCGCCTATGCACTTATCACTGGACACACTAGCTCTGTTTTCTATGGCATAATTAGTCTGAGTGAGGAGCTATTAACAGACCTCCAAAAATGCAAAACCAACTTGGTAGAATAAAAAATACTGTCGAGTATTTTTGATTTTAAGGTAGGAAGAAGCCGACTGACATCTTACAAACGTATACAACAATAAACTGCTTTTGTAAGCACGGGTTTTCAGGATTATATTACAGACATTTAATTTAATTCAAGTAGTGTTTTTTCTCAAGCCGAAGTAAACGTTCAACTGATTTTCATTCTCCGTTCTGAAATGTAAACGGAATGGACAGTTTGGAAGGAGTGCGGAGGCCTTTGATGATTTGTTGCTTAGAAGGGATCAGTAATTAAATCACCTGCCAAGACTCATTGAGTTACTACTGTCTAGTATGAAATATGACCTGCACATTTTGTCGTACAGACGTGTCACCGAGGGCTGACGCCGGTAACACGCTGGAAGTAGACTTTACGGACAAATATGGACTCCAGGTGTAGATAGGCAAAATCTGTAGGTCATATGCGCCTGAAAAACATGTATATCTTATAACTACAAGAATAACATCGTAATATCTTGTTTAACAATATTTCCGAAGAGCCTCTGCCAATCCGTTGGTACAGCAAATTTCCGGAGATACAACATCATATTTAGCAAGGAGATTGCGAATTCACACATCAAAATGGAATGCAAACATCCCATAAAGTAGGCCAGGTGTTCTCGAGTAGTCTGACCACATTTAAACTGGCTGGGATTTTAAACCAAGTCTGCCGTTAAGCAGGTAGGAAAACAGAAAGGCTTTGTACTTAGTAAAGCCAACAAATACATTAAGATTAGTCAGTCAATAGAGAAGCATCACTTGCCTGAATCAAATAACCACCGGTACGACTGCGACGGCTTGAAACACGTCCGACAAAGCCCACCCCCCATATTATCCAGTTTGTCAATGTCCACGTGCTCCTATTCTGAATAATCAGTCTTGCAGTGTAAACATTGACCACCAGCATTAGAATCGGTATCACTAACAAGATTGCGTGTTCATAATTCTTCTCATCTCCTCTTTCCGTCCTCATTTCACCAACAGCGTTTGTAGATTGAGTGCAACATGTTCGTGTGTTTCAGTGTCGACAGGGAACGTCCTGAGTAACAAAAGGCGATAATTGCTATTAACACGAATATCTCATGGGTGAGATGATGAACTAGTCTGACCGCAAAATTATCACTGCCTGATATTGGGTGCGTGTTATATTTTATTGGTCAATTGGGTCCGAAGTTAAACCGCGAAAGCAGTGGCCG